CCCCTTGAGGCCCCGCCCTTTGAGGCCCCGCCCCTTGAGGCCCCGCAGACCTCGGTCGTCCTCCCCACCTTCCAGGTTCCCCAGGCTGTGGCCCCAGGCTGGCAGCAGTTTACCTTGCTCGCGTGCCCGCGGCGTCGGGCTACGAACCCTCAGGCCTCGATCCCCCTACCCTGGACTCCTCGGCTCCGTAGCTTGTTCAGCCAGCCCTTTAGGAAGCCCAAGGTCTCGGCCCACTTTTGTCTCTGGGCAGACTTGGGGCGAGAGGGCTTGACCCGTCACGGTCACCGTGCAGTCTGCCTAAGGGTGATGGGCCCTCTGCTCCCTGCGCAGAGTGAGGTCCTGTCAGCCCTGAGCCCCTTCCTGTCCCAAGGCTCTTGTGGGATGCTGGAAGCCAGAAAGGAGCCCCTAAGCACGCCCCCGTGCACCTAGGCGGGCCAGTCCCAGTCCTCAGAAGGACCCACCCTCTGGTTCTGTGGGGTAATCTCAAGGGTGACTGTTTTCTAGGAGAACAGAGTCTGGGGTCGTGACCAGGCACACAGGTTAAAGGTTGACCCGCTCCCCGTGGAGCTGTGCTCTTTTTCTCCAGTTCTGAGACGCAATTGATGCCTGACCCTTCCCTGATGTTCACAGATTGGGGGTGAGCGGGCCCCAGGGGCTGGCAGGAAGAAGGCCTTCCAGAGAGGAGAGCTGGACCCTACCCAACTGGCTCCACAGAGTGAGAGAGCGCAGTGTGGTACAGCTGACCTCATCAGCAACTAGGATAGAAGCTTGGGGACCCTGGGACAGTGGGCAGCGCCCTGCTCTGAAGCAGTCTCCTGTTCCTGCAGTAATCCTCTGTAGAGAGTGGAAAGTGGGGTGGAGGCTGGGGCACCCCTCAGGGATGGTGTCCTACATCGTTGGGGTTCTCTCAGCCTGGGCTGCAGTATTTGTCTCCTGGGGAGGACTGCTTTATGGGACAGGAATGGGACTGGGGACTTGGGAGTTCCAGGTTGAGATGACAGAATTGCTAGAAGAGCTGAAAATCTGTTTATTTTTGTTTTCATTTTGTTTTTCCCAATTTATTACCCTTTTTTTAAAAAAGCCTTTACTTGAGAGATGGTATGACAATAACTGGTATGTCATGACAAGAAGTACATATTTAGAAGACCAGGATGGCAGGCACTCCAAGTGTGCCCCCTCTATTACACATCGCCATCCTCAGTGCAGCGCCTGGCTCACGGGCACCAGTATATAGTTAGGGTGAGAGTCTCCCTAGCCAACTGCTAGTCTCAAAAACCTGCTGATGTATGGAAATCTGTGTAGAGGTGATTTCTAAGGGTTTGCAGGAGAAAGACCTGTGGTCATCGATGAGCCACCTGAGTGTGGTGAGGAGGAAGGGAAAGGCATCTCCAACCCCTCCTTTGCCTGACCTGATTTCCTTTGATGGTCTTATATAGACAGAAAGGCCTAGGTCCTGAGGACAGAGGGGCACGCCCAGAACCTCAGAAACTGGAGCAGCTGGTGCATAGAGCCGGTCCACCAGGAGCCACCAAGCACATGTGGAGCCCCATGCAATATGTTTAAAAATCAAGGGTTCTGGGGCAGGGCAAAGCAACACCAAGTCATGTCTCAGCTCCTGTGTCCTCCAGGAACCCACTGCTGTCCCAGGAGGCTGTCTGGAGTTTTTTCCTGGCACTGCATCTCTCTTTGCCCTGAGGGGTGGGCCACTCTCAGCAGGAGCCCCTTGCTGGGGCGCTGGGGCTGAGGGTGTCTAACAGAGCCACCTGGCTACCCTAACTATCCACAGGCTTCCACTGTGGGCCTGATTTTCATCTGTCCTTGTGTGTCACCAGGAATGGCTGGTCACGCCTAAAGCCATCAGAGGAGAAAACAGAATAACACTCACCTGGCCCTGGCCACCTACCTCAATGTGGCGCCGGCCAAGCTTGGCTGCCCACCTTTGGCCCAGGCCTCCTGCTCACCTGAGGGCTCCCAGGACTAAAAGCTGCCCCGGTCCCAGATTGTCTTGAGGTACCAAGGTTGCCAGCTGACCCCTGTTTTAGGTTGCCACCTTGGTGAGGTCATTGTCACTATCTGAGAGCTCCTTTGGGGCGACTTGCACTGTTACCAGGCTGCATAAGTCTGGTTGTCGAGCACTTCCTGGCAGAAGGTGGCAGGGAGGGGCCTGGGATGCAAAGGGACCCTCCCCTGGGAAAGCTTTTGGGTGTGGGTGAAAGGTGGTGGGCACAGCCTTCACCATCCCTCCTGTTCAAGAGTCTGACCTGTGACCCCAGGGGGCTGCTGGCCGCTTCCTCCCACTGGGCCCTGCAGTGGCTGCTCACAAAACCAATGCACTCACCAAAAGTTCCAGTAACATGAGCAGGATGATGTGCTGCAAGGCGTGGGAGCAGGCAGAGGGCAGAGGACAGGCAACTGCACAGAGACATCCCTGTCTACTTACCCCTGCTCTCCACCGTGTGTCTGTCCCAATGTGTGTGACACTGTGTCAATGTATCCTGCTCCATGTCTCCACCCATCACCCAACCCATGTTCGACCCCACTGGCCCCACAGCCATCTCACCCCACTGTAGGTCGCAGCCTGGGGGATCTTCCCAAGGGCCTGGTCCTGCCTTAATTTCCAGTCCTTGTAGGCCCACCAGTTCTGCAGCCCCAGGACCTTTGCCCAAGCTGTTGGCTGCTAGGTGCGTCCTCCCTCCCACAGCCAACCCAGCCGGCTCACTTTCCGAAGGGAGTTCCCAAGGCTTCCTCAGCACAGAGTTCCCTGTTACCTTGCACAGCAGCGACAGGAATAATGCTGTGGAGGGTTGCCTGTCCTCAGCGCTCCCCAAGGAAGAGCCGTTGCAGTTGCCATTCGAGGAGAGGTGGAGTGAGAAGCCTGAAGCTGTGCAGCAAGTGGGCGCAGGAAGAAGAGCCCTGGGGAAGGCACCTGGGCTCGAGAAGGGACGTGAGAGGCAGCCCTTGAAGAGAGGACCAGGCCTGTCCCCGGCCTCATCCAGGCAATCATCCCCAGGCCTGGAGCCTCTGTTCCAGGGACCCATTCTGGTATTTGTCAGCGCTGGCTCCAGTTCAGCAGCTTTCTGTTTTGGGGGTGGGGGTGGGGATAGAGGATTTTAAGCATGTGGGCAGCACGGATGGCAAGGTAAACTGAGTTTGAAATTGCGAGGGGCAGGGGCAGGAGGGGCAGCGTTCATGTTCCACAGTTCCAGCACAGACAGGAAGGGCACTGGACATGTCCTGACCTCCATGCGTAGGTAGGGCTAGCTCCTCCTCTCTCCCACAGGTGGCACACAACCTGTTGTGGCCCTGTGCCTTGGCAGGAGGGTCTGGCAGGGGATACTGGTACTCAGATGTGTGGCAGATAAGGCAGGGAAGGGGTCAGCTCTGCTGCTGCTGTTCGGGTGCTGAGTGTCCTCCAGGGTCTATGGATTAAACCTAGTCCCCAGTGACCACTACTGAGAGAGGGCCAGGGATCCTCAGGGTGTACCTGTGAGGGGACATGGGCTGTCTTTCATGGGCTCCTGTCAGAGGCCTGTTCTGCTCACTGGTGCCCCGTCCTTATGACCTAGATGAGGCCTGCAAGCACCATGCCTGAACCTTGGAAACTATGAGCTCTCTAAGCCTTTCCTTGTGAGCTGGGTGCCATGGACTCTTGTGCTCAGGAGGATGGGGGAGGCAGGGAGAAAAGACAAGGGCACAGAGACCTGAGAGAGGGGCCGTGGGGACACCAGTCTGGACATAGCTGGGACTGGTCATTGCTCAGCAGCTGAGGGCTGAGACCAACACCAGTGCATGAAAGCATGGTGCCTGGCCCCAGCTTAGGCCTGGGCTGCAGGTAGTGGCAGTGCCAGCCCTCAGTTCTGGGGTGGTCAACCAGACCCAGAACACAGGCACTGCTGGGTGTGGGTACTAGGGAAGGTTTGCCTGGGAGCTGGGCCTGGGCAGGCTGGGGTGCCTGCTTACAGTGCTGCTGGGGAAAGGGCTGAGAGAAAGTGTGCAGGAGCCAGTGTGCTGGGCTGGAGAGTAATACCAGGCTGTTCTCTGCCTCTTCAGCCAGGAAGGCACTGTCTCCATGGGAGGTGACCTCAGAGCACAGTGTAGCCTGTCCAGTAGACCCCGGTGTCTGGAGACAGAGGTCAACATGTTAGAATGGGACCCCAGGATGAAGCCAGATGCAGTCTCTCTGGGGTTCAGTGCTGGACCGGGCTGGACCTCAGGACCAGAACTGCCTGGCCCACGGTTGCTGTGTGATGTCCTTCTCTTGCCTCTTACCACGGCAGCCACAGCCAACGGGGTGGCCTGCTATGGACAGTGGGCCTGGGCTGGTGCTGAGCCCAGTGGGGCTGGGGAGCCTTGCAGATGGCCAGAAAGCAGTTGTGATGGCTTAGAGAGCGGTACCTGCATCTCTACTGTTCCTGCATGGGCTCTTCAGCTGGCCGGTCAGCAGGATATGGGCAGCCTGATGTCCACTCCTGTTCTGGGGTTAGCCACTGGGCCCTGAGGCTGGCAGGGAAGACTCTAGACCCAGCTGACACCACCAGGCCCGCAGGACACACATCGATGAGAAAAGATCCAGCTGCTGTCTCAAGCCACTGCCTGTTTGTTGGTGGTGTCTGTGACCCTACCAGCTGTGATGGAGATACAGGGGCCAGGGGACACAGGCAGAGGCAGCGAAACTCATTCATGCTGGGGACGGCAGGCTGTCTGACCCCCACGTGGGTCCTAGGGGTGTGGGGCTAGAGGTTCCTGGATACCTCCTCCTTCCCTCCCAGAAGTGTCCTGCTGTCTTACGGGATCCTTTCACAGACAGGGAAACTGAGGCTGGGCTAAGTTCAGCCCAGTCAGAGAGTCACCACACTCCCCTGGAACTGTGTTCTAGGAAGGAGCTGGAAGCACGTCAGCTGGGAGGGAGGCTGGGGTGAGCCCTTGTGCCTGTTGAGTGCTGGGAGCCGAGGCCCAGCAGGCCTAGCATCTAGCTGGTCAAGGTCTGCTGACCTCAGCCTGATCGCCCCCATGCTGCTGGCAGCAAGCACCTACCTTTAGCAGGCCCAGGTGTGGTCTGTCCCTCAGCCCTGGACTGTGGAAGGGTAGCTCCTGCCTCCTCTGTCTGCTTGGCTCTGCCAGCGCAGGAGGCCAGTGGCCTTGAGCTCCTGTCCCGAAGGCCATGCTGGAGGTCAACAAGTCTCTGCACTGCAGGAAGGGGCAGTAGCCTTGGGATTGTGGGGTGGGAGGGACAGCTGAGGCCTCCGCGTGCTCCTGCATGTACCCTGCGGATGAACTGTGGCCCCGGGGGCAGGCACCCCCCCCCCCCCGCCTGGCGCTCCTTAGGCTGTGGCTGCCGTGGGTCTCCATGGTCTGCCCACAGCCATGGACAGGACTAGAGCAGGACTCAGTGCCCTGCTGCCTCCAAGTCTCAGGTCCTATGGCCTCAAGGGGACACTTTGGAGACCCCTCCTGACTTCCACACCCCAGGGTAACAAGGGCATGGTGCCTTCTCTGGCAACCAACTGGAGCTGTCCTGAAGCTGTCCTCTTGGGTCCTGCCCAGGGAGCGGCACTTTTCCTGAGTGGGGCTGTGTGGGCCTGGTGAACCGCTTCAGAGGCAGAGTCGTGGATGGTTCCTGCATCGGTTCCCCAAGGAGGATGCACCCCACCCTGCAGGAGCCTTAGTGGAGCCGGCCAGTGGGGACCCACCTGTGCTGTACACTGCCTGGTGCCCTTTCCTGACCCTGTGGATGGCCCTGGCCGTGTCTGTGCCCTCGTGGCCTGCCTACCCAGACTTCACCCCTGCCCCAGCTTCAAGGGAAGGGTGGCTGTGGTACTCCCTGTTTCTGTGACTCCCTGTCAGGTGGATGCTGTCACCTAGTGGCCAAGCCCCACAGTTGTATGCAGGTTGGCTGGCTGGGGAGAGGGGGCAGGGCTCACCATGCCCCTCCCCAGGCAGGGCCCAGGTGGTGTGGGGCGCAACGCTAAGGCTGCTTCCAAGAGTTGAAGAAGGACAAGACACCAACACGCTGGGACATGTGACAGGAATGTCCAAGGGTCTGTGGCACTGAAGCCTGGCTGGGCTCCTGGGCTCCACTCCAAGTCCACCAGCCCTTCCACCCCTTTCTCTTTAGCCCCTACTGTTCCTCTGGGGAGCCCTTGGTGCCACAGCTGGAGATCAAAGCTGTAGTCATCACCCAGACACACCTTATGACCCAGAGCACAGTCTGCCTGGCCCTGGGACAGGGGCTGAGTGGGAATAGATGGGGGCTGAGCAGACAGGTAGGATCCCACTTGTGAGGCCCCTTGTGGGCAGGAGCCTGAGCCCACACAAACTAGACTGAAGATGGTGGCTGGCTGAGATGTGGCCCTCTCGGGGAGGAAACTGCAGGACAAAGGCCTGGAGGTGACCTGTGGTGGATACACCTTGGGAAAAGAGGCCACAGTGGGCTGGCTGCACAGCCGCGGACCTGTTGTGGTCTCCCGAGGAAGGGGAGGAGGCTGGAGCCATAGCATGCTTTTCCTCATCTTGTCTGCCCAGGATGAGGACAGCATCAGGGTCCCTCTGGTCACCAATGCTGGAAAGGATGCTTGTCCCCAACCCTGGGGTCTCTGGGGCTGTTCAAAAGAGAGTGGCAGAGGTTGGCACCTGGGTGGGCCTGCGGGCTATTCCAGATAGTTCATCTCATCCTATGTTACCTGAGGCCCCAGCCCAGAGCCAGAAGCTCTGGAAACAATGAGAAGGCTTGGGGAAGGTCCCTGCTGTGCTCTTGTACTTCCTGTACCTCAGTGTGCCATGGTGTCACATGTGGACATCAAGACTTCTTTCTGCCTGGGCCTCAGTTTCTCCCCCATAAACACAGAGGCACCAGAGTTGTCTCACTGGGTATATAGCTCTACCTGGTGCCTGTGTTTCTGGTCCTGTATGTGTCCCCACAGCCCTGCCCCAGCATGTGGCATGGTGGCCCTGAGAAGAGACAACAGAGACAAATGCTTCCTGGAGCTCAAGGGAGCAGCAGGTATGCAGACAGATTCCACAGAGCCAGGAGTTTGTGAGAAAATAGTGGAGATATATTCGGAAAGATGAGCTGGTTGTGACCTTTACAGCATGGCCTGAGCCCCCCACGCTTTGTCCACGAGGAAGAGCTCTCTCAAGGGCCCTAGCACCTTCTGGAGGGGCAGTCTGAGCCCCAATGTGGTGTCTTTCAAAATGTCAAAACGAAACCTTTGACATATACATTGCACCATGAAAAACTAAAAACTGAACAAAATGTGCTGCGAATCCGAGGTTACCTGAAGAGCACGAAGCATCCCAAGCCCCCCCGTCTGCCCTTCCTGGTGGGGCGCTAGGCCAGGGCGCGGGCAGGCTACGCCTGCAGGACCTGGGACGGGGCTGTGAAGGAGGCCTGTAGGAAGCTCCAGCCCCCACCTCTGTGCCCTGGGTACAGCCTCCTTGTCTTCCCGACACATCTCCCTGCCCCACCTCATTTCAGGAGAACCCAGCGTTCACATTACAACATGAAAATAGCACCAGAAACTTCCGAGCAGAACTGAGGAGGTACACAGCCCAGGGCTTTCCCAGGAGAAGGGCTCCAGAGGGGGCCTGTTGGGGAGCAGTTCTGTCCATGTTCCCCAGGCAGCCAGGTGCCCTGGAAACATCTGCAGGGTGGCGGGTGGCAGGCATGATCCTGTGGTCGGGGGGCAGGGGCTATGTGCCCTTGGGGATCTGGTGGCTCAGAGGTGGCCCACATGGAGAGCCTTAGGCATTTTGGAATTCCAGCAGCAGCAAGACTAAGAGGAAAAGACCACCATTTGTTCAACTGCCCAAACTTACATCCCTCCTTGGTGGCTGGGGACCTCATGTAAATCTTCAGATGAGGTTTGCAGCATGTGCTGCCCTGCCTGTCCCAGAGCACATGGGGCTGAGAGGGGCATAGCTGCTCTTTCAAGTGCTTAGTACCAAGGAAACAGCTTTGTGGTCTCAGCAGGGCTGCAGCCGGCCTATCCGTCATTCCCAGACTTCTGGCGAGAAAGGGACCTTCACCAGCTTCACCAGACCATTGAGTGTCAGCGGGGTGACGCCTCGGGCGCTGAACAGTCACCACCAGGAGCCTGGATGGGGCCTAGGCTCTGCTGGGCACTGCTTATGTGTCACTCGGAAGTGTCCTTTTTGAGAGGGATCTTGAAGCTGGTCAGTCTCTGCCCAAACAGCTGGCTAAGAAGGTCGCTCTGAGACTCAGCCGTCAGGTGGGCTCGAAACTCAGTGGGCCTGGGGCTGGGGACAGACCTGCCCCTCCTCGCCTGGGGGACGGCCTTGCTCAGCACCTCCCTCTGGTGGCCTGAGCCGGGATCTCCCTTTCGTGCTTCCCAGGGCTGTGGTCTCGTCTTGCTGATCTGACCACTGGCCCTAGGCTTGGTGGGGAGCACCCGGCTGGGAGTGGCCTGCTTCCGGGGGGCTCGGGGAGGCCGTTCTGGGGCTGTGGGGGCTCTGGCTGAGTTCCCTGTGCTTCCCCGCTTAGCTGGGCCTGGGCCCTTCTTCCTCTTCTCACTGCTCTCTGTTTTGTCCTGGGGACCTGGGCATCTCTGGGTCCCCTTGGGGCTGCCCCTGGCCTGGGCTCTAGGTGGGATTGGGTGTGGTGTGGGGCTCTGGCTGGGGCACCTGCTGGGCTTGGCTGGGGTGATGGCTGTTGCACTGTGTAGCTGCTCACTGGCTGGTTGGGGCCGGCTGTCCCCTGAAGTCTGGGTGCCTGGGTGCGATCCCCCATTCCCCTGGGAGCTAGGCCTTGGCTTGGCTTTGGGAGTGGTAGGCTTCATCCTGTTTTCAGGGTCGGGGGCCAGCTCTCTGGGAGCTAGGATCCTCATCTCTGTGAGCGTCCTTGGTGGTCTTGGTAGCTTGGGTGTCCTGTTGGGGGTGATCGCCACCAGCCTGGGCTTTGCTGCACTCCAGCAAGCCCCCAGCTTGGTAGTACTGCCCTTGTGGGAAGGCTGGGCTGTGTCCCCCTCAGGCACCACATGGCACGCTGACACCTTCTTCTCTTTCAGGAGCTGGGAGGGCTCTCCTCGGGATCGATCGCGGGCGCACCTTCCACGGCTATCCTGGGTCCCACGTTTCCCTGAGACCGGGTGAGAAGCCTGTTGTCTCTGAGGCTCAGGGCTGCCTATGGACGCCTCATCCTCCAGCTTCTCCAGGGCTCGGTCCGGCTCTCGGCCCTCTCTGTCTTCAGGCTGGGCATCGGGGAAGGGAGATAGTACTGGGGGTGGAAGGCCTGGGCTGGCCGTGGGTGGATCTGGGCGGCCTGCAGTGTCCTGCAGCCTCTCCTGGGCCTGAGCGGTTCCGGGGGCCGCCTGTGGACAGAGGCGGGGCAGGGCCCTGCTGCCCGGGGATGCGGGCCCGCCCGCCCCGTGGACCACCACCTTTTGCCGTTTGGGGGGCAGCGTGCCCTCGCTGGCTCTGGGCCGTCGCACGCCGCGGAGCATGCAGGGCCGCGGGCAGGCGCGCCGGTGCTTCTCGCGGTGACGGTCCAGCTGCTCCCGGCGTGCAAAGGTGTAGTTGCACGCGCTGCACGCAAAGGCTCGGCGGGTGACGCGCGCTACATCTGCGCAGCGTTCGCAGGAGAAGAGCGGCGTGGGGGCCACATCGAGCGCCTCTGGCTCCTCTCCGTGCGCGCCGCCCAGATGCGCGCGTAGCTCACAGTGCGCGGCGTAGACGCCGGGGCAGCGTGGGCACAGGTAGACGCGCTGTGGGCTGTGCACCGCCAGGTGGCGCTGCAGCTTAAAGGGCTTGGGGAAGCGCTTCCCACAGTGGTGGCAGTCGCGGGATGGGTCCTTGCAGTCCGCGTGCACCGGGCCGGCGCAGAGCGGCACCTCGCTGTGGGCCCGAGGCTCCTGGCACGGGCTGGGAGTGGCGGGGCTGTCGCTGCCGGGCACTCTGGGTGGTGTCGAGGCACCGTAGGGGCTTTTACAGAGGGCAGATCCAGCCCCGTCCCTCGGGTCCGCCTCCACATCCCTGCCGACGGACCCTTTTGGTCCCTGGTGGTTTGTGGCTTGCTCCACCGAGGCACACTCGTCCTCGGAGGCCGTAGATGGCTCACCTGGGGCCCGCCGCGCCTGCCCTCTGCGCGCAAAGAGGGCGGCGTGCTCGCGCAGGTGCTGGTTGTACATCCAGATGTCTGCCACCTCCTTGAAGCACATGCCGCAGGCCCACGGCCCCGCCTGGCCCTGCACGTGCTTCTCCTGCAGGTGCTCCCTCAGCAGCTGGCGAGAGCTGAACCTGCGCTCCACGCACATGTAGCAGGTGGGGGGCGGTGCTGCGCTGTGAGCTAGGCGGTGCAGGTCGAGCTCTACTAGCCTGTGGAAGCGCCGGAAGCACACGCGGCACTTAAAGGAGCCCTTCCTGCCCGGGGTCGACCGCTCTCTACCGTGGGCCTGTCTGGGTCCAGCTGCTTCGTCCTGGAGGTCCAAGGTACTGGTGCTTGGGACACGGGCCAGGTCCTCACAGGGTCCCGGGACACACAGGTCCTGCGCCTCCAACATGGCCCCGACCATCTCCAAGTCTTCGGAGCTCCGGGACAGCCCCTCCTCGAAGCTCTCTCTCTCCAGGTTGGGGGGCTCTGGACTCACACCTCTGGCAGTGGAGGGTGACTCTTGTAGGGGTATCTGTAGTCCCAGTCCTCTCCAGGTTCCAGGGATCCTATGCAACTTGGGGATGGCCTCTGTCTGATTGTCTATAGTGCAGCAGGGGGTTGTCTTGTCCACACAGCCAGCCTCTCTGCTGGGCTCCAGGGCCCAGAGGCCAAGGCCTGGACTGCTGTTGCTCAGTGCCCCATCTAGCAGCCAGGTCTCAGGCAGTTCCATAGGCTCATTACCCCACACGTCCTCACAGGTGAGGCAGAGAGAGCCTGAGTCACTGAGGTCTGTGGGCAGCCGGATGGAGGATGAAGGGTCACCTCTGGCCTGGATGAGTGGCTCAGTGGGTGGCCAACATGGCAGCCTCCGGCAGCGCTTCCCATACACCCTGGGATTCTTCTTCCGGGCAAAGCGACCACCTGGAGGGAAGAGCTGGGCAAAGGACATGTCATCATCAAGCATGTTTGGAGGGTCAGGATCCTCAGGATTCCCACTGTGGGTTTCTGGGGCATCCAGGAGGCCCAGTGGGCAGCTGAGGATGGTACTGCCAGTTTCAGAGCTGGATGCTGCAGGAAGGACCAGCATTCCTGCCGTAACGCTGGTGCCTTGCTCGTCCCCGGTCCCTGCACAGTCCTCAGAGGCCTCTCCCGCAGATGCATGTGATGGATCCTTGGGTGATGTCCTGGCCACTGTGGGTCCCCAGACTCCCCTTGTCAGGGCTCCCTTCCACCCCTTGGGAAGTTCCCCAGGGGACACCTTCTCTGCCTTTCCTATGGGGCTTCCCCTGCCACCTGGGGACTTCTGGGATGCATTGTCCACTATACTCAGCACCCCTAGGCTGTGATCATCTGCAGTGTCCTCCAGGATCCCAGGCTGTCTGTCTGTCCCTTTCTGTCTCTCTGGTGTGCTGTCGGCAGTTGCCTCAGACAGCGTGGAGCAGCACCAGTCTGCAGTCACATGCTCCACCTGGAGCTTCCTGGCTCGGCCCTTTCCCACATTCTCCTGTGGTTTCAGGGCAGTGGTGCTAGGGGAGTCCCTGGGCCCTCGAGTTCGCCTCTGCCCTTCTCTTCTCTCTGTCCATCTGGGCTTGAGCTTGTCCGTCTTGAGTTGGTCTGATCTGGGCTTCGGTACCTCCCTGGGCTCCATCAGGCTTAGTGGATGCAGTTGTTGGTTAAGGGGATGGCTTGGTACCCCGGAGCCCCTTTCAGCCCCCTCCTCTATCTCAGGATCCAAGGGGCCCTCAGGTGCTGTGGAGCCAGGTGGAGGAAGTGGCCCAGCAGAGAGGCTGGGGCACATTGAAGTGTGACTTGGTCTCTTCCCATCAGGTATCCTGAGGCTCTTTTTTCCAGGCACTTCACGCTGCAGGGCAGTACCCCTATGCTGTCGGTGTTTCCTGGCTTTGTGCCTGCTCAGGCCAGGCCTTGAGCGGAAGGAGGCTAAGCAGATCTCGCAGGTTACACAGGGGACAGGTGGCCTCCCTTTCTCTGTGGGTTCTGCTTCCTTTTGAAAGCCATAGAGTTTCTGCTTCAGGTTTGGGGGACTGAGGGGCTCCATCTGGGGCATCTGGTGAGGGGCCCTGCTATGGCGTTGGGGGGATTTGGACCCAAAGTCACTGGCTGTGTGGCTGGGAGAGGCAGCTGGGGAAGAGCAGGTTGCACTCAGGCCTTGGGGACTGGCTTGGGGCACCTGTGTCACAGAAGTGCCTACATCCTCCTGTCCCTCATTGACGGCCTCCACCTCCCTTTCCAGGTAGGGGTAGGGACCTGGCTGTGTGGACTCCACTGAGGTGGGGCCTGTAGATGCGGCTGTGATGCTGTGGCCATCTCTGAGGCCAAGGTGGGGGGTGAGGCATGGAGGATGTGAGGTGGGGCCTAGCACCTGGAGTGCCCCAGCCTCCTTTACACCATGGCCAGGGGAGACAGTCTCTGCATCATGTTCCTTGATGGCTGCAGGCACTCCTGGTTGAGGTAGGATGGCACAGGCTGGGGAGCCCCCTGGCTCTCTTCTGAAATCCTCTAGGGTTCTTGATGTGCTACTGTTGGGGCCATCCTGGTTCTGGGTGGTGGTTGGGGCTGGGATGTTGCTGAGGCCTGGCCAGGCTTCAGGGCTGCTGGCCTCCAGGAAAGTGGGAGAGGGGATATCCCCAAGGCCACAGAGGCTTGTCGAAGATAGGGGACCAGCAGGGAGCCCCCCAGATCTTACATGGGTCTGGACACAGCTTGCCCTTCCCAGAGATATAGAGGGAAGAGCTTCCTGGGGTGTGTCCTTAGGGTTGCAGAGGGCAGGGGTGGCTGTGGCCAGGCCCCCTGTTGGAGGTACTGGACTGGCCACCTCCTGGGGGGGCCTATCCTCAGGCCCCTGTTGGGTGCAGGCTGATGTTTCTGAGGGGCGCTGAGGGCTAGGGGCTGGCTGTGCCCACTCCTGAAGGCCTATGCTGTCTCCCTGGAGCCTGGTTGTGGCCCCAGCTGGCCTAGGCATTTCAGGAGGGGCAGTAACCTTGGCACTGTTACCTGGTGCCCCCGTGCTCCACCAGGTTTTAGGCAGGCAGTGGTAGGCTCTGCTTTGGGCCTTGGGCTTCTCAGCCGGGCTGGGGGAGCCCAGCTGTCTCTCTGCCTTGGGTCCTTTGGGGGTGGCTGTGTCCTGCATGCCTCTGGGGGAGCCACCTGTCACTCTGTCCCCTCTTGGACCTGGGGAGGCTCCGTGCTTAGGGCTTGGGGCATTGGCAGGTGGAGGCTCCTGTAAGACCTGGATGCTATCCTCACCCTCAGTTCTGTCCCCCAAGACCTGGAATGGATGTGAAGGCCTGGAGGCTGGGCCAGCATGGGGTCTGTGGTGGGATGGACCATCTTGGCTCTGGAGGGCAGATCTCTCTGCCAAGGTGACAGGGGCCCCAGGCCCCTTGGAAGCATGGCTGTGGCCAGCATCTGTGGGTGGGATGGCATCTAGAGACACATCCCCACTGCCCTGCAACCCCTCATCAGGTGCTTGGGTGGCTGGACAACCTCGGGGCTCAGGGGGCTGTCTTCCACTCTGCTCCCAGCAAAGCTGCGGTGGGGAGCCCTTGCTCTTCGGGGTACTTGTTGACTCATCACTTCTGAGAGATAAAAGGTCATGGCCTGGGCTATACTCTGCTGAACCCCCAGGCTCCAGGGGGACCTCTGGGTGCTCTTGGGGGTCAGGCAGAACCATGCCCTTAGGGGCCCTGCTGTCTCCTTTGATCTCACAGTCTCTGCTTTCCTGTGCTGAAAGAACACTGAGGCTGCACCCCATGGGCCCTGAAGAAGCCCCCAAAGCTTGGTCTTTGTGGTGGCCAGGGAGTGGAGTCACTTTTCGTGGGTGGCATGTGGCTGAGGGATGCTCCCCCTGGGGGCTCCCAAGTGCCCCTTTCCTGGTAGACACTGTTTTTACACCTTCCTGATGTGGTCTGGATGCTTCAGGACCTGCAAGGTGGGCTGTGTCACTGAGGGATGGGGTGGCCTGGCAGGCCGGCGTTGGGGAGGCTGCACATGTGGCTTCACCGAGGTCCCTGGGGGCTCCCTGGGTACCCTCTCGCCTTTGCAGCTGGCTTTCTAATTCAGAGACCAATCTTTTGATTTCTAGTTCATCCTCAGACAGGTTGCTCATAAAAGCTGTGCTGTGTTCATTTCTCTTTCCAGGTACAGGTGCAGGGCTTGGGGGAGGTATGTCTTCATGGGGACATTTCTTGTGGAATGGCTTTGGCCCTGAGACTTCAGTAAGTTGGCCGGGCAGCATCGGGGACACTTCCTCCAGCAGCAGGAATGGGGGGAACAGTGGCTCTATCTGAGGTTTCCTTAGGAGAGGGTTAGGACAGGCCAGTGGCATGGGGGTGGCCCTGTGTGGGGAGAGGCTGTCGAGGAGTGGCGGGTCAAAGCCATTCTCAGGCAGCCCAGCAAAGAGACTTGTGGAGTCCAAGGTCAGTGGCGACTGGGCTGGATCTGGGTCAGTCTCAGCTGCATAAGGTATATTCTTTGGCGGTTTGGGCTCAAGGGGGTCCACATGGTCCTGGTCAAGGTAGGAGCTACTGGCCGGCAGAACGTCCACAGCTGGGTCCTTGGGCCTGAGGAACAGTTCAGCAGGGGCAGTGCTATGGGGCTGGGGCCTCTTATGGGCAGCTGGAACTCCCACAGAGTCTCTGTTAAAGTGAGCAGGGCTGTACCCAAGATCAGAACTCTCAGCACGCGGGCTGCCAGGTGCAGGACAGGCTACTTGGGTGGCGTTAGCAGCGGGTGCCTGGAAATCTCTGGGCTGGCAAGCGGGGCTGTCTTCTCCATCAGGGTGTTCGGGGGGCTCTGTGTGGCTGGGGGTGTCCTGCAGACCACTCCTTGCTAGCCTTGGCACACCTCTGCTCCCTGGGGGCCAGGGTCTGTGGGGGTCACCTCTGCCTGGCCGTGGACACTCGGCAGTGGGGGGCCTGGGGTGTCCTTTCTCCCAGGAGGGCAGAAACTCTTCAGCAGCTTTGGGCTTCTGGACTGCCTGGTGGAGGCCTAGGGATGGGTGACTTTCCTTTATGGTTGTGTCTTTGGAGTCTCTGTCTCCATTGGGCAATGGGCTGTGCTGCTGCCCTGGGGCCGGGCAGGTCCTGCCCTCACTGGGTCCTGGCCTCTTCCTCTTGCAAGGGCCCCGGCCCAAGGCCTCTGCCTTCATCTTCCTGCCTGGGCGCCACTGCTGGTGGCTGTGGCGGCTGCAGCCTCTGCGGCCAGGACCCCTGGGCTCAAGGGTTTCTTCCTCAGACTCGGAGGCATGGTTGAAGCCCCCCAGCTGGCTTTTCATGGCCCGTGGGGGCACCTGTGGCCGGTACAGCTTACTCTTCTGCAGCACAATCTTGTGGATGAGCCCCTTGCCCCAGCTGCTGCCCCGCCGTGCCCTCCGCTTCCTGGGGGGCAGCCTCGGGTGCTTGGCATTTGCAGTCTCTGCAGGGAGACCTGCCCTGGGGACCTGCTCACCAGGGTCCATGTGGTCCCCGGTGGTTCTGAGGTCTCGTGGGGGCTGCTGCGTGCTTCGGCCCCTCTTCCTCGGCCTCAAGCAGGCTTCCTTACCTGGTATCTTGGTGCTTTGGGTTGCATCTAGCTTTTTCCAGAACAGCTTGAGCTGCTTCCCTCTCCGAAGCTGCCTCCTTGGGCTTGTCACAGTGGTCTCTGTGGGCTCTGGGCCCAGGCAGGGAGTATTGGGCTCACTCTGGGCTGGACACACCCTGTCCCCAGGGCAGGGAACTCTGGGATTCAGTGTGGCTCCTCCCTCTGGGGGCAGGTGCTGGGCATGATGCTCTGGAGTGGCACTTGCCCGGGTGCTGGGGGGCTGCCCAGTGCTGGTACCCTTGGGGCCAGGAGGGTCCTCATCGGCAAAAACGTCAATGAAGCTACTATCAATCTCAGGGCTGTCAGACCGGTCCTGCATGCCATTGAGGGCCTCTGTGATGAGGCTGTCCAGCTTTGCATCATCAAGCTTGGCATTATCCTCTACGTCCAGGTCTGAGGCAGGCATTGGGAAGGGTGGGGTGGCCAGGCTGGGCAGGAAACTTGTCCGAAAGGTGTCCTCTTTGCCATCTGTCTGCACATCGCCGGCCAGCAGGAAGGGGATGTTCTGGCTGTGGCCTAGCAGGCCTGGGTGCATGGGCGCTAGCGCCTTGCGGGCAGTCAGGTGACCCTGGGGTCCGTGCCGGGCCAGCAGCATGCCGCAGAACTGCCGGTGCTCGAGGAAGGCAGCCAGGCTGCTGTAGTTGCGGTCGCACTGCCTGCAGGTCAGCAGCACGTCCAGCTGGTCCAGGCTGGCGCTGCTCAGTGGGAAGTGGTGGGCAGCATAGGTGGCTGGGCCCTGGTGGAAGCCCCGCAGCCCAACCCTGACTGCCCCTTGGCCCTCACCACTCCGGAACTCAGGGGCACCCTCGGGCCCCAGCCCATCTGAGATGAGTGAGAATTGGGCCTGGCCAGTGTTGTGGGGCTCTGAGGACTGGAAGGGGCTTCCAGTCTCCTGAGGCTGGGGGGCTGGGAGGAAGAAGCCTGAAGGCCCCAGGGGTGCAGGGAGTTGGCTTTCTTCAGAGCTAGGGTTGGCTGGGCTGCTGGACAGTGGGGACAGGGAGGAGCAGGTACTGCTACCTGCTGTGTTGGTGGCAGGTGAGGGCAGGGGGGATTCGCTGGGAGAGACCCCAACTACCCTGGGTGGGGGCAGGGCAGGGGCCCCTCGGGGTGATGCCTGGGGCTGGGTACCCCCAAAGAACAGGGCCTGGGCCCCAGGGTCCTTCAGCCCACTATAGGGGAAGAGCCCTGGGGAGCTACCTGGCTGGCCTGGGCTGGTTCTCAAGGCTACTAGTGTCTCCCCAGGCCCAGGTGCCTGGCTGGTAGCGCCCAGAGCCCCCTGGCTGCCCTCCTGCCACTCAGGAGGCTCCCTGGGGAATGGCACTTTGCTCAGCACTCCCATCTGGTGGGGGTTTGGCCCAGGACTGGGGAACATGGAGGACCAGGGCACTGTGGGGCTGTGGGGGAGGCAGAACTGCTGGCTGGGGCCATCAAAAAAGGCAGTGGCAGCAGTAGGTGGGGTGCACAGGGGGCGCTCTGGGTAGGGGGCTGCTGTGGGATCCCACAGCTGGGGCAGCCTGGCTGGCAGGGCTCTGGGGGTGGCCAGCTCAGTGTCCCCAGGTCCTGGGCTGCTGCCCCCCTTATTGGCTCCATACACCTGTCCTGGAAAGTGCCCCGGGGGCCTAGAGTTTGGGGGTGCCCTGGGGCTCCCTAGGCCTTCATGGCCTGAAGTGTGTCCTTCAGGGAGGACTTTGGTCATATTCTTGTGCAAATTGTCAGGGAAGGGCCTTGTAGCCAGGGGGGCAGTACCAGGTGGAGAGGGGTAGCAGGGCAGGCGTGAGGATATGGGGGGCAGTGGGCAGACAGGGCTGGTGCCTATGGCTGCCTCTGGCCATCTCCCTGGGGGCTGGTGGAAGGCAAAGGCCAGTGCTCCACTGGCAAAGCCCTGCCTAGTTGTGTCCTCACGGGGGGCCTGTGTCTGGAGCAGGTATGGGAAAGGGCTCCCCCTGGGGCTGCCAGGTTTACTGCCCTCGAGAAAAGGCTCTGACTTGGTGGGGGAGACCCCAAAATTAGCACCTGGGAAGTTGTCCTCAGCAGCAGGAGGCCAGGAGCTGGCCCCACTGGCCTGGAGCTCTGGAAGGGAGGCCAATGCTGAAGGGCTGGCACCCTTGCTTGTCGGGGCCTGAGGGTGTCCTGGGTTAGTGTTCCGTGAGGTATAGTTGCTGGAGGTAAAGCTAGAGAGGTCCTCCTGGAAGTACCTTTGTGAATGGAGCTCTTTGGGGGTGGGCAGGACCTCAGCCCCAGGGGGGCTGGGCCTGCTGCAGGCTTCTGCCTTGGAGTCCTGGGGGGCCTTGTGTGGCCAGTCCTCAGGGGGCTCGTCCAGGCAGGGCTTGGCTCTTGGGCTGGCAATGCCCAGGCCATAGAGCTGTGGAGGACTCTTGTCCACCTTGCTTGCCAGCCACACCTGTGTGGTTGGGTGGCTCTTTGCAGGTGGGGTTTGGGGGCCACCCCTATTCCCTGGGGGACCATGAAGGGAGCGGGGCCGCAGGAGTGTGGACTGCAGCTCCACCTCCTGAGCCAGCTCTGGCTGGGCCTTGGGTGGGTCCCTGGCTAGGGCTCTGCTGCCTGTCCCCCTTGCAGCCTGGGCTGTCCTGCTGCTGAGGGACTGGTCCTCTTGAGGGGCCTGGGAGAGGCACCGCAGGCCCCCTGCACCTTGATGGGGATGCAGGTCTCTTGTGGAGGCAGAGGGCGGCGCTTCGTGGGGCCGCTCACCTGGCATGGCCCCAGGTCCTGGATGCTAGGAGGCGGCAGTCTGAGGGGTGCCGTGGGACGTGGGCTGGGCGGCCATCCTCACCCCTTGGGGGTTCCCGGGGAGGCCTGTGCTCATGGTCCTGGGTGGAGCCTGTAAGGGAAGGGTGTAGTGAGTGGAGGTGGGGCAGAGCCCGTCCTGGGCTCCTGGTGTGGTGGTTACAGAAGTCCTGGTTCCCAGGAGGGGCTCTGGGCTATGATGCTGCTTTGGGATGTACGAGAGAGATTATACTGGTGGGAGAGGGCAAGGGGGTGGGAGGGAGAGGTCTAGGGTCTGAGAACATCATGTTCCTCCTAGACCAGCCACCCTTAGGGAGGCTGGTGACTGCTGGCCAAGGCCCTGAGCTGGGAACCCATTAATGTACCTCAGCCTTGGGTCCTGCAGTGTGGCCTCAAACCCCCATTGCGGGGAGGCCCCAGTCTCAGGAAGCTGCCAGTGCCTCTGGGGGCCTCTGAACAGGTTCTGGTCAGCCCTGGGTGCCTCACCAGGGGCTGTCCTGCCATGTTGGGCCCTAAATCCCTGGTGGGTGAGGTCCTGGTGTGCCCAGCAGAGGACTCCACTGCCTACCACAGCAACCCAGGGATATCTGGGTAGGGGTTGCTGCTTCCTTCCCCTTTAGGCCCTCTGGTCAACCTGGGGCAGAACACTGATTCCTTGGGCTTTGCTGAATGAGTCCAAAGCAAAGCCCAAGGGGAGCTATGGCAGCCTTGAGCTTCTGAGCACTTTCTGGTGTGGGTTCCCTTGGCTTTGCAGTGGCCTGGGAGAGTGGAACTGACTTTCCCCAGGATCTACGGGAGGCAGTTTCTGGAAGGCACTTCCCTAAGACTCCTTGCTGGTGGAAGGGGTGGGTCGTCCCAGGAGGGGCTCCCTGTACCACCCATCCCACTCAGGCTCTAGAAACGTACTCAAGCCAGACTGTGGTGATGCTCCTTTTCCTGTGTGACAGTATCCTCCCAAGGCTAGGAGCTTTTGGCCAGATGGATGAGGAGGTCTTGGAGGCCTCCCTGAAGAAGCGGTTGTCTCAGCAACAATGCCAAAAAAGCTGCAGGGTGGAGGGCATCAGGTGCTCAGGGACATAGCTGGCAGCCTGGAAGACAGGGAGCCTCAGGGAGCAGGGACATCTCTGCCAAGAGCAGCTGCATTTGGACCAGATGTCTCTTTCTACATACCTGGGGTGCCAGAGCCTCAGCGGGGTCACTGCAGGACTTCCCAGAAATGTGGCTGTGTGACTGTAAAGGGAGAGGAGAGAAGGTTAGGATGAAGAGTCCTTTAGCAGCCCCCCTAGGGCCCAGGAGGCTGCCAGGGCTCGGGAAGGCTGAGCCTGGGAAGGCAGTGCAGCTGTGGGCTGGCTTCAGGGACTCAGGCTCATGTGTTATGTGGCTCTGCCTTGCATGCATTCACAGCACTGGGAGGTTGGCTGTGGGGAGGTTCTACGTCTCCCCACATCTTCAGATCTGGGACCCTACACCTCCCTCCAGGCTGTGCTTTCTGTTTCTCCCACTACTTAGTACCTGGCTCTAGCTCAGTTTGGGCCTGGGTTTGCCCCGCCCCCCAACAGGCTGCCATCCCACCTTGAGTCTGCCCACATCTGAGGGGCCAGGAGCATATGGGAAGCTGGTGCAGGCTGTGGTCATTGGCTGCAAGGAGAGGCTGAGAGCTCACATGGCCCTTGCGGTGCACTTCAGTGCAGCTGGGCTTAGATGCCCTGCCACAGAGCAGAGCAGTGGGTCAGAGGGCTACGGACCCCAGAGGCCTAGGCTCCCTGCTCTCTGCTGGGCCATGTGCTCAGGGATGCTTGTGCTGTGCTGAGTGGTCACTCAGGCAGCCCCTGCCACCTGGAGACTGCAGCTGGGCCACTGCTCACAGTGCAGCCCCTCCCCAGAGACTTATGGCACAGACAAATGGGCTTCCAAAGCTAGGCATCCAGGGCTGGGGCTCCCACACCGTACCAGCCATGGTGCAAGGCACTGGGCCCTTGAAGCATGTGATTCATGGCCTTCGGCTTAGCACCTGCAATGGTGAGCCAGCTGGAGAGGAGGGCACAAGTCAGGGAGGGCTGTGACTTGGCTAAGGCCGCCTAGCTGAGCAGCTGCTCCTTGAGGCTGGCCTGCTGAACCTGTGCCTCCGAGACAGATTGCCCAGAGGACCCACCTGGCTGGTCTGGGCCCTTGCGTGCTAGGCCCAGATACAGGCTACTTTTGGTCTGCTGCACCATGGGCTCCCTAGCCTGGAACACAGGGGCCATGGAGGTAGCCTGGGGACTACACTTGACTGGTCTCAAGTTCCAGTCCCGCCCTGGCCCTTGGCAAAGCCCCTCAGTGCCTGCTGTTGGGTTGGTGTAGGTTCCAGCAGCCAGGGTCCTTTGAAGTGGGAGATCCAATCCCCCAGATCCAGGGCTGCCCCAGGAAGGAGTGGGAGTGGTTCCTTTTCTCCCAGTAACAGTCACTGGCCCCTTGGGTGCCTGTGAGTGCCAAGTAACTCAAGACCCAGAGGTGGTGGGGGAGGCCAGCAGAGACTGAGCCAGCAGCCCTGGGCCTCCTCGCTGCCTGCCTGTCAGCGCTGCACTACTGAGGCCTTGCTGGCTCCCCAGCTGTCTCCTCTTCCAGGCCTGTGGCAGCCACCCACTCATGGTCAGATGGGGCAGCTGAGGCAGGGTGGTAGTTCAGGCGGGGCTGTGCCTCCCAGGGAAGCCAGGCATGGGTGTGGCAAGGCTGCTGGCTGCCCCTTGCTGGGGGTGTGATGGAGTGAGCAGGGATCTGTGGCTATGGTGGCTTGGCCTTGCTATGGCCTCAGGCACCATACTGGGGGCCACTGGGTGCTGAGAGGGAGTCTGGAGGGGAGCACGTGTTTCTGGGGCCAGGCCAAGCGTGTGATGGCCGGCTGTCTCTCAGAGCTGCAGAGGATCAGGACCTCATGTGCGTCTGTGGGCCCCAGGCCACGCCCTGGGGCATGATGGGGAAATGAGGCTCAGAGACATGCTCAGCCTATCTGTGACCACACTGCAAGTTGTGGCTGTGCACCTGGGGTGTCTGGGGTGCAGGCCTTGCCCACTCTGTCAGTCCCCTGCCTCAGTTCCTGCAACCTGCTGGTCTCTAGCCTGGACCCCTGGGCCTGCCGTGACAACCCCCAAGCTGGGCGATCCTGGTGGGGTGAGGCTGAAGCACACCGTGCCTCTCTGAACCTGTGATGAGCCAGGCTCCAGCCCTGACAGGTCCTGCCTCTGCCCAGCACTGGTCGTGGAGCCCTAGCAGCTGGCCGCAGGGGACAAGACCGTGCTCAGTCTGCTCCTGACATCCGTGCCACAAGTGTATCCCTTTCTTCTCCCTTCAAACGCTACTGCTTTCTTAAAAACCCCAATGCCCAAGCAATGAGGCCTCCAGTAAACCCTTGCAGGTAAAGTTACATCCGAGATACGGCCCTGAGGGTGCATTTAGGAGTCAAGCTGTCCTTATCGGCCGCATTTATCTTAATTACTTGGGCAGAGTCAAGGCCACCATTCAGGGGCAGGAGCAGGTATTAGTGCTGCCTTATCAGGGCTCATATTTGAGATCCCTTAACAGGAGGGAGATAGGTGGGGGGAGGTGGCATTGCCCAGGTGACAAGGAGGGGATGTGAGGAGGGTGCATCTTTCATACTCAGCCCAAATGGCCACAGGCTGGCAAGGGTGGCAAGACAGGTGCCAGCTCTGCCCTCTCTGCCCTTTTGTGCCACAGAGGCTGACATTTGGGGTGGGACAGTGCCACTGATAGGTGACCTTTGCCCACTACACCTCACTCGGTCTCAGATTCCAGGAAGAGCAGCAGGACTGCCACTCCCACAGTTCATGGGACCCAGTGACACTGCCTCCAAGAAACCCTCCCTGCCCAGAGCTTGTGCCAGTATGCCCCAAGGTCACTGTGCCCTTCCTGGACCCACAGCTCATTCAGGCTTTGCCAGCTCTGCAGCTGCCCTCTCTGTGTGCTGAGGTAGCTCCCAGCTTGACATGTCCAGAGCGGTCGACTAGGGGAGGTATGGCTCCCTTCTCCTGTTGATAAGTGGCCGGAGGAGCAGGGGCACCCAAGAAGATCCTACATCCAGTGTCAGGCTATCTCAGCACAGCAGGTGGCTGCTCAGGTCAGGCCGTGAGTGTCAGTTCAGTGGGGGAGGGGCGGTGGTGGCAGAACCTGGCTCCCAAATTGCCCTGCAAGGTCTCAGCTGTGGTGCAGGGCGGCTCTTTGGGGGGAGCAGCCTTGGCCTGCAGTTCTGCTTGTTGGCCTGGGCAAGCACTAGCCCTCATCCTCTTCAAAGGCCCCATAGGCACAGGGCTTCCAACGAGCCCCTGCAGGGGACACTGTCAAAGCCTGAGTGTCATGAGCACAGCCCTGGCTGGCCTGGGTACCTCCTTGGCGCCCCAGCTTCCTCCCCTCCTAGCCAGGCTGCAGGTGGCCCTGCTCCATATCTATGGAGGCAGTCACCCACTGGGGCATAGGAGGACAAAGCTACCCCACCTCCACAGGCTGTGGCCACATCCTTGCCTGGATGGTCCAGGCCAAAGGATATGGCTGGTGGTCATAGTGCCCCATCTGTCCCTGAGGATGGGTTGGGTCTGTGTGTCAAATATCAACTGTGCAGGCCACTGAGTCTCCCCAGCACTTCCCTGTGGCCATATGCTCCTCCCTGCTCCTTCCTCTGGACACGCTGTGCCACCTGCCCGCTGAGCCACCTGCCTACTGAGCCTGCCCTCCCATGGTGGTCCCAGGCGTGCTGTGTCTGCTGGTGTGCAGCCCTCTGGCCCTGGGACATGGTGGCCTCTGGGAGCGTGAGCACAGTAACAGCCTTTCTGATTTTTCAGGAAAAGCTAGAAATCCAGGTTTAAAGTGAAATCTCCCTATTTTTTAAATCTTGGAAATGAATTCATGTGAAACAAAACTACTGTTTAAGCTGAAGCCATCAGGTAGGCCTCGGCGGCCTGTGTGGGGTGGTACATATTTCAGACAGTTCCCACCTGGGTCCCTGTTGCCCCTCACTCACTCATTCATTCATTCATTCAT